TGAGTGCACTAGTGCACTCATTCATATTTTAGTAAATCTATAAAAATTATATAGATCACTAAGGAACTTTTTATATTTAGATTATACTTTTCTTGACCTTGGCCTATTTGGGGAAAAAAATTAAATTATAATTTTTAGGTCAACTTTGATGAAATGATCCAATTCTTTTGATATACTTATTTTCCTCCATTATACTTATATATTTTTATTTTTTCAAAAGTTGTTTATATTTTAAAAATAGAAACTAATAAAAAATTGTACTACCATATCTAAAGTTTGAATAGTTACTGTATTTGATTTAAAGCTTTTGAATATAAAGATAAATGTATTTTAAATATATATCACTTGAAGTAGAATTTTATCATATTATACAATTAATTCTATATAATTTTTTTCAAATATTTACTAAACGATAATCATGTTTGATTGTTTTATAATAAATGCCTACATTAATAAATAAATATATATAGCTACATATAAATTCAATGACTTAAACTGTAGATATTTTTGTTAATTTGGTATACGATGATATTTAAATTTTTCCTTCTATTTTATATTTTAACTTATAAAATGAACCATCGTTTTCTTTGTGCTGATCAAAACTTATCTGCCAATGTTATACTGTATATAGAAAAACTGAGTTTGTAAATTTTGGCAGCTAAATCAGTAATGCAATAATAAAAACATTATGATAAAAACTAAATATATCACTAGAAATAAAATTTGTTTAATCACGCTTAAAATGTATTTAAATAGTACACACACATAAAATACAATTGTAATAATCATTATTACAATTAATAAACATTAGTTTTCAAAATTCATTATATAAAAGATTATCATTGAACAATATATTTTTATAATTTTATAATCTTACATTTTTTGAGATAAACATAGTTAATTAAGCATTACACATTATAATTATTATTTCTTACATAATGCAGATTGCAGCACAGACAAATGCTGCTAAGAATAATCATATATTTCCACAATATTTACATTAGATTTTATTTAAATTATAATAATAGAAACTGTTTTAAGAATTTTATAATTCTAGATGTTAATATTTAAAAAAAAATAAAATATACTTTTTATTTACAATAATAAAGTTTTATTAACTTAGGCTACTTAAAGATTAATCAAATATTCAGTTTTAAATAAACTATGAAAGTGTTATTCAATCTAATAAATTATGCATGCATGTGAGAAAAATGATAATAAAAATGAATAAAAAATAAACTCATTTCAAATATATAAATGAAGTTATAATAAGTTATTTTACAAAAAATTTTTATAAAAACCTTAAAATTAAACACGTAATGAATTTTAATTAATATGGCAAGTATTAAAATGCACATTATTAAAATAAACATAATATTTGTATAAATTTCAACTATATATATATGAAAACAACAATATTTTCATCTATCCATCCAACAGCTTATTAACTCTCTCCAAATATGGAATTGTCACCTCCCAGTACGAACCCAAATAGTATAACTGTTCTTCCAATTACAGAACAAAAATACACTTCATATAATTAAGATACGCACGAAGTCTCTTGTTTTTTTTTTTTTTTATTACTACTTTAAATAATCTAATCTACATTTATCAAAATTTTAAATTTATATATACTGTCTTCAAACATGATATTGCTTAATTCTTATTGTCCTTCAACTTGTTTTCATATATAAATTTTAATCAGGTAAGACGTGAAATCTGAAGGATTTGCCACCCCCAGGTTTATAGACCCCCCATACGAGCAAAAAAAGTCGACGGAACCATACCCGTACGTGCGAGATATTTACCTCCAAAGGTCAGTTTTTACCGCAAACTAGTACACAGCCTATTATCCAACTGTCAAGGCTCACTACCGCCGGTTCGTTTTACTTTTTTTCTCCCATGGGTATGTCTAAAGCTCCGATACGGTCCCAAGTATCTATTCGGAGGTGTAATTATACCTTTAATTGCATACTTACACTTGTACGAAGAGAAAAATTCAATTTTTCTCATATATTGAACTTAAAACCAATCATAAGTCTTGTAAGAAGTTACCTTTACATCATTTATTTATGTATATATGAGATAAGTACCTGAAAGTAACCTCTACTACTGTATATATTATATAAAGAAATAAATCATTAAAAATAAATAATATATTATCAAAATAATCAAATTTTAGCTGATTTGACCATAATAAAGTAAATATTTTTCATTATTATATCTTATTATTTGTATAGACTATAAGTAAAATAAACTTACTTTGTATATTGAAGTTTGGACGTTTAAATTTCAAATTTCTAAGACTCAATAGGCCTAACAGTCAAACTTGAAAAACCATTAAGTCTTATATACTATCGAAGATTTTTTAAGTAAAAAGATTATATATTATTTCAATAATTATAATAAAAGTATTCCAAAATAGTTATTTTTCTTTTACGTACGATTTTTTTAGCTGAACTGAGTCGAAAAATCAGCTGCACTAAACGACGATTGACTACAAACTTTTCTAATTCATAAAAATGTTGATGGCGCCCTCTTCCGTTTCGTGTAGAAAATACGAAATTTTTGTAAATATAATTTCGAATATCGTGTTATTATTATTGTATTATTTTTTAAACACGTCATCCATTGAATATTATTTTAATATTAATTTTGTTTTTAAAATTTTTTTTAAATATACGGATAATTATCTTTAAAAAATAAATGTCATTCAACTTGATTAAGACGGCGGGATGGTCGAGTGGCCTTGTTTTATGTGAACTTTATGTGTGCGAGTGTTCACATTCATCACCTTCATGTGAACACTCGCCTACGTGGACATACAGATAAATGAAAAAGCGGATTCCCTTGCCTGCGACGACAAGATCAGAACGCGCGACACAAACATCATCACGGCCATGGAGATTCCTGGTTGGGCACGGTAACAGCCCTAAAGAGTTTATCTAATAGCGATTGTCATATTACCAATGTAATCAACAGAGCACGTACTAACTCTCTCCTCACTAACACTTTTCTCCATACCAGAAATCTCAGTGCCTCTAATCGTTGCAATTACTTTCCGACCGAGAAAGATGATGTCAAACATCGCTTGGTTTCCTGTTGTATTTTTGAAACCGCGTGAACCTTTAATTATGTAGCGTTCAGTCTCCGTCAATCATCACATTAAAACCATTGGCCAGTGCCTGTCACTATGCATGCACGCTCTTAGCATGTAACCATATCCTAATAGACTTCTTTTGCGCCTATACCACAATCTACACCTTCTAAGTGCCCATGTAAGCTAGTGACACTCCCACCGGATTTCATAGTCCCATACACCTACGTCAACTAACTATGGAGTTTTCAGTTTCGAAAAAATGTAAACATGGGGCAAAACCAGCCATCGCAGATAACCATCCCACTAGAGAGTACGCAAGCAACCAGGTGATAGCGTAATGGTCTGAGAAACCGGGATCGTATCCAAAGAGTCGAAAAACCCCAGGAATTTTTCAGGATATATCATCGGTCTTCATATCACCCGGCCACACCATTGTGAGACAATAGAAATAAGCAAAAGCATTGCCAGGTGTGATTATTTACAGTTTTTTAACTCATACAGCTTCAAACTACTCATAAAGAACTCTCTGACTATTGTGGCAGCCAACCACTGTACAATATCTATCTGAACTGGTTTTATAAGGAATGTCACCTATGAAAAACTAAAAATTGCTGACCTACACTAACAACTAGCAGTATCTCAATGGCTGCCAAAGACATACCAGAGTGTGTGTGGCAGAATCCAAAAACACATTCTAAAAACTTATGGATAGAGAACCTGAACAGATTTTTGAGTAGAGATATCTAAGTATAAGATGTTTTAAATGTAATTTCATAATATTGAATTACGACAATTTTTAACAATATTCTATTGTTCCTATTGCCAAATTAAAATAGTGTGCTGCTTCAAGAAATTATTTTTGCGAATTTGGAGTGAAAAGGAGATGAGAAAATGAAATTTCTTTACAGTAAAGAAGATGTTGAACCAAATGATCAGCAAGAAAAAGTTTATCCTATAAGTACAGTGACCATACGTCCTTTATTTAAGAGGACAGTCCTTTATTTCACTGCTCTGTCCTCTAACTTTATTTATTTTATAAAATAGGCATTTTGTCCTTTATTTTGTAAATTCGATGCAAAGTTTAAAAATTTTTTTAATAATATATTGAACAAGTTACCCCCATACAAAGTCGAAGCGCGATTCGAAAAAGCTACTTTTATCATCAACATGCCTCACCAAGAGCATCTTAGGTGGCTAGAGGCCACAGCTATCTACAACGCCGGCCAGCTAACCACTTGCGTTAACCAGAAGGAAGTGCTGACTCTGTCTCTGGCCTGGCAATCACTGTTGAATGCCAACCCGCCACTTCATCCCCCACCACAGACCGTGCATGTCAGAAAGGACCCACTCCGTCAGAATTGACACCCGATCCCAACAAATAGAATACACTCTGTCCAGGGAATTCCAGTCGATCTGAAGAAGAGCAAAGAGATTGCTCGAAAACGTTTGTCAACAGCGATATACAGTATATATGCATCACACATCAGTGGTTACAGGTTCCGGATAGTGTATAAACTTGTGAATTTTATAAGGTATTTTTTTATTTTCTTTCTTCGATACGTCCTTTATTTTCCCCCAAAAAATATGGTCACCATACCTATAAGGGTAAAACATTACATTTCGTCGGCCGAATGGCCGAGTGGTCAAGACGGCTACCTGGGATCCTGAATCGAATCCTGACAAACTCAAAAAATTCCCAGAGATTTTTCGGATGGGTTGTCTGTCCCTCACCACCCAACCGCCCCATTGTGGGCTTGGCCGAATTCATAATGGGCTTGCTATAAGAGGTCCACTTAGTGCCCATAGGGCAGAAAAAGTAAAAAACAATATCATTTTTCTGTACCAAAATCAAAGATATTTATGACTAAAATTGAATTAACAAGATTTTAAAATATTTTTTCTCCGATAACGTTGCAAACATGAATAATTTTTGTTATTGAATTCGATCGCAGATGATCGTACAGTACACCAGAAAAATCCTCAACAAATTAAATTACAAAGACAGGTGTATTTATAATTCATTTATTGAGAACTTTTCTGTTTTTAAGTTGATATTAAGTTAAAGAGTTATTGTTAACAAAGAGACACATTTCAGATAAATAATCTCTGTTTTATAGCATTTTATTTCGTGCTTTTGTATCGATACAAATTCGCAAGATTTTAAAATGACTTTTACTTCTTTTATTTTTATATTTTTCTTTCGTTATGAATCGTGTACATTTTCTTCTGCTTTGACTTTCGGTTTAATTGTTAGAAAGATTACTTCAACTTTAATTATAAATTAGTCCAAAAATAAAATGTGCAGTTATAATACTGTATTTAAACTGATACACGTAATCAATCAATATAAATTTTAAAAGTTTTATTAAGTAAAAGTTTATATACACGTTTAATTGTTCAACATAATTATAATCGTGGCTTAGACATATGTTGACTGTGGTATTTCCCTTTTGTTTTTATTCGGGTGTCCAGTGTTGACACGCACGTTACTGGCGGAAATCCATTATTTTCCGGTCAGAATTTCATCCTCGGTTGAGAGATTTCAAACGACTGAAGACGGTCTCCTATCTTTCCTTAAACGACAGAACTGAGTTATGTAGATGGAATCCGAGAGTAGGTATGGGAACTGTAGGGACCGAAGGCACAATGAACTATATACGAACGTTTGGTGCCAATTAATAGATGACCGGCACGATTCCGTCGTTAAAGGAAAAGTATGATGTACAGGGTCAAGCCACTACTAATTTTAGATGGAGAACGTATATTTTAAATTAAATAAATTACAAATATGATTAAAAATTACCTCCTGGCATTGTGACTAAATCACAATGCTGGGACAAAATTGCTCATTTTGTCTTGAAAAGGGGCGAGTATGGTTAATTTAGTTATCAATAATTATATCAGCATCATTTTCTTCTATTATATATTTATATTTATTAAAAATTCTTCATTACAAATGAATAAAAACGACGTTTTGTCTTATAAATCTCCCTTATAGTACATTAAAATGAACCAACCCAAGTGCCAACTCTGCACCGATTATCCACATGTTTCCAGAGAAAGTTCATGTATTTTCTCGTACTGTCGAACCGCTATTAAGATACTACAACAACTACAGAACTGCAGAACTGTAGAATTGAGAATATAATTGATTTTGAACTTCCTAATTGAAATTCGTTCCTAACGGCCACTTTGTTAGTAATTGTAAGGGTTTTTATATTTTAAATTATAAAGAGAGTATTTTCAATCATTTTTACACAAGTTTAAGTTTTTTGCAATGTAAAGAAATAAAGCGTGCAACATGGATAGTGGGAATATATCTTTTAAAACTGATAAAAATTTAAAATGAAGAAAACCTAAATCCTATTTTTTTTAATTTTTTGTTCCTAGAAAATAATTGGAAAAATTGGCATCTGTAATTTTACTAATATTCCACTGTTATTATCTATAAGTAAATATATATAAAGCCTATTGCCGTTTAAATCACAGTCCAATATATTCATAATTGATCTGATGCAAAATTTTTGGATTTTTGCACGATTTCTTCATTTTCTAGTTTATTTTCATCAATCGAAATTATAAAATCGTAAAATAATGACACGAGACAATGCACCTTTGAAATATCCAGTTATATTTGAATACCTTATTAAAATTAAAGCCGAAAATTACCAAAAATTACTTAAATATAAGAATCAGGAATCTTATAGTTATTTTTTAAGTATAACGTAAATGAAATTTTAATTAATAAATTGTCACAAAATATTTGTGTCTTTGAGACAAATGTAGAGCCATCACAAACCCTATCTGCAAGTCATCATTCCGTATGGACTTGTGTGTCTAATGATGAAAAAGTTATTTATATAGCTGGATGTACGTGCATGGCTGGTTACCTATTTTCTTCTTAAATTTTCATCCCGTGAAAATAAATGTAACTGGAACAGTTTAATACATGGATAATCTCGATGAATCGTTTTCGTGTATATCTCATACAGCTTCAAACTATTTATAAAGAACTTCCTATTATGGCAGCCAACCATAATAAAGAGATCTTTTATAAGACGTCGCCAATAAAAAACTAAAAATTGCAAAAAGCTCTCACAGTAGCTGAACCAATAAGTCTATAGAAGGTTAATTTAACGTAATTGTATAGCTAGTGGGACCAATCAGAGAATTACCTCATTGCGGTCGCGTGATCAGCAACAATAAAGCTGAAGAGTATAATTCAAAATTAGCAAAAATCTTGAGAAAAAAAGACTATGCGAATATATACTGTGTGTAAACCTCGATATAACGTTGAGGATATCCCTTTGCATTACAGCCACCAACTGTTTGGCAGAGTGCTTTTTCTCTGCACTCGAAACAACGAAGAAACATTTCTGATCAAGTTCTCATGTCTCAAAACGTCTCATGACGTCTCAAAACGTTGAATTGAATCCGATCTATTAAAATAAATTATTTTCATTGTATTTTAGATACGTTCGTCGAAAGCAAATTCGAAACTTCAAAGCACTTCGAAATAATCTCATCGTTGGTACGCATCTCGTTATTGGCACTGTCACTAACGAAGAAATTTGCATGGATCGGAAGTCACATGGCTTGTGTCTTAGAATTAATTGAATATCTTAGACCCATTTTGAGGCTCAAAAATATCTCGGATAATCTGTGATAGTCCAGTAGCCCATTAGATAAAACAATAATTTAATTTAATAACAGACCCCGTATATCCATGATGGGTTTATATGTAAATATATTGGCAGTTAGTACTTTGACGTGATGTATAATGTCTTTTCATCAACATAAAGACAAGAATTAACTACTATTGAATATCTGAATAACCGAATAACATATATTAGTCGCTTATTTATGTCTTTCGTGTTAGATATGTTATTAATACAGAACTTTATTTCGTCTTGCGCTTGTTCAGACTATTCGCCATTCAAATTCTACATGATTATTTTAATATATACCAAACAATACGAAGACTTATAGTACAATATTCAATACACAAACTACCAAAACAAACGAGTAAAACTAATTTTTATTTGGAACGATTACATTAAATCGTTTATAGATATAATTAAATTAAATCCATTATAATTAGGAAAATCAAATAATAAATTATTCTTCGAAAGAATTTCTTTCGAATATTTTTATAAATTAAAGCAATTAAGGCCAAGGGACATCATGAAAAAACATGTGTCTTCTGATGTCCGTTTCCTGAAGACGTTTGACTGGATCCTGAAATGACAAACAATAATAATAATTAATTGCAATAGTCGATACTGTTTGTATTTTTATCTGTTAATTGTAGTGAACTACTATTACAATAAGTTATTCAGCTCGTTATTACTAATTAAAATTTCATTATCGTAAACATTCGTCACTCTCGATTAAACAAACTCAATTAATTCTTTTAAAATAAATATACACGCATAAAACATAGAATTATATGATGGAAGTAAGAATAAACTAATCCTCCCTACTTTTAAGTATAGTTTGAATGCGTGAATCACGTCTAAAGTCGAAATAGGACGAAAGGTTTTTCTCGTATTTTTATATATATTTTTTTAATTAAAATTTCAGACCCCACTGAATAGTTTTCTAAACTTTTATTATTAATTATGAACAATTTACGCAAATATCCATTAAATTATGCAGAAATTGTGTTGAAATGTATTTGTATTATTAAATGAATGGATGCGTTTCTTATTAACTACATAAAAGTTATGAATTTCTCGCATAAAACAACATAAACACTAATATTTAATACTTTGAGGTTTAATGGAAAATAATTATGCAAACGAACAAGTCATATAAGAAAATACATTAACTACAATAAACATTTTAGTCTTACTTTTTCCAGTAAATCGTCGATTACGTCCATTGCATTTATCGACAGATGCAAAAAATACTGCACCCGGACGTTCCGAGCGACTGAAAAGACATTGTTACATTAGTCACACGTTTTCTCTTTTTGCCGTTAACAAACTAAGAATAATCATCGCTTACTTTTTATTATCTCCATAAAGGACATATTGTCAATATTCGGGACTTTTTCTAAATACATCTCCATCGGCGTTTTTCCTATTAACATTTGGTATAAGAGAATTCCGAATGCCCACCAATCGCAGTAAGCATCTAAAATGAATGCATATTACTGTATTAATAATTACAAGACTTAAACAAAGTGACGTGATTAAATTGTAATAGAACAACTTACCATACGGTTTTCCCTCGAGGATTTCTGGACAAAGATAGAACAAAGTCCCACAAGATTTATTCGGATTCTGTTCATACTGACAGAAAGATAATCGGTTAATGAAAAATCAACACTTGTACGAAAATTAAGATAATATTTTACACACTACTTACTGTGCAGAGACCGAAATCAATCAGTTGCGCTCCTTTCGACTTGTCTATCATGACGTTATTCGACCCGATATCTCTGTGAATGATTCCTGTCGAAGACACAAACAAATTCATTATTAAATTTGCATTTGTTAAAGAGACGAATAAACAAATAGAATTTTAGAATTTAAAAATTACCTCGATCATGAATATACATTATGGCCGAAGCCACTTGAGCACCGATCATTTTGACTCGGGCTTCTTCGAAGGGTCCGTCATTTTCTAAACTATGAGTTATATCCTGTCCGTCCACAAAGTCGGAGACGAAACAGAAACTGAAGAAGACAATTATTACTACATAAAACCATAAAGTATTACTAATAAATCAAATGTAGAGTCAAAATTTACCTGGTATTTGTTTTGAAGAAACATATTAAAGAGACGATGTGGGGATGGCTCGATACGGTTGCCCACGCTTTTCGTTCTTTATTCAATTCGCGCCTCTATAAGTAAAGTCATTTTTTAAGTATATACTAGATACAAATTAAGAATATTCTGTAGACATTTGTAATTAATGTTTATACAACATCGATTTATTTCCGCTTAGAGCATCATCAATAAATGATGTGTGAATGTGATGATTTTTAATATCGAGATTAAACGTTTTATGTACAGAATATGCTTATTAAATTATTTTATATTATATGGACTTGGTTGTCAAATAATTTTCTACTATTATAAAATTAAGAATATGAGAAACAAAGCTGAAAGCACACCTGTGCAAGACAAAAGCGCTTTCTCTCGACGACTTTCAAAGCCACGTTTTGGTCAGAGTTTCCGCAGCGAGCCAAATAAACTGTTCCAAAAGCCCCCTTTCCAATTTCTTGAAATTCATAGTCATTAATAATGTCTTTATTCATTTTTGAAGAATCAACTCCGAATTGAGAATCTTCCGATTGACAATTCTAAAATCACAGAGTCATTTAATGGTAAACTCCGCTAAGTGAAGCATTAAGTGTATACGAAGAACGAGAACTTACCTGCGAATCGGAAATCTCTGCTGTATTACAGTGACAACAACAGAATTTATAGAATACGTTTCTACAGAATTCTATAAATTTTCCTGTTTTCTTTTGCTTCTTGCCATGGAACTGTGAATCCTCCTTTTCTACGGGGAGACACTTTGTTCCATGCAAATTTTCGTCAATCTAAGAAAAGTCAATAATAGAAATCAATTACGCTTGAAACGTTATCGGAAAAAATATTTTTAAAAATCGCTAATAACTGAATATTAGTTACAAATAACTTGGATTTTTCTAGAGAAATAATAATATCTTACCTTTATGGGATATTCTCTATCTCGCTGACCATCCGGTTCAGCGTTATCCTCTCTCCTATAAAAAAAATATTCGATTATTTTTGAATAAACATGAAATAAGTCTTAATTACAAATATAATTAATGAGGAAAATTACATTTTCCGCTTCTCCTTACTACTCAACATTCGCAAAAACATTTTTCTTACGCTTCGCATCATTTTTCTTAGCAATTCCAACAATAGAATATTGTTAAAAGCAGCTTATTGTTGTAATTTATTATTATGAAATTACATTTCATATTAAATGACGTGATTAAATATCTAAAATTCTATTGGAGAATTCTTTACAAAATTTTATCGTGGATTTAATTGTTCGTTTCTTTTTCATTGGCATTAAATTTCAAAGACGAAGTTAGATAGATAAAAGTCGAGATCAGATATGAAAAGATTACAAGTTGATTGCAAAGGAAAGTTCATATATAGTTAATCGAGGCCTCCTTCTTCGATTAACTATATACAAACTTCCGACACAGGAAAAAAACAAGTGGTTTCACCGAGATTCGAACTCGGATCGCTGGATTCAAAGTCCAGAGTGCTTACCGTTACACCATGAGACATGACCGTCAGCCGCTTCTCGAAAGCCCATTTATAAACCAATCAGCGTGCCAACGGACATTACTTGGTTCGTTTGTAACATGCAACGGAAATTTGAGTGTCGCAAAACAGTTATCGTCCTCCGTCGTATATCGCGCAGGGCGGAACATCCTCGCCTTTCTTCGCGAAAACTAATTTGATGGGCGTTGTTTAACGATTCGGCTGAAATTCGTCAATTATTTTCGATCGCATGCTGTCTTTCGTTGTGGAAATCGCGACGCCCGCCAACTGACAGTTGCATTGTAGGATTCGTGCAATGCAACTGTCAGTTGGTGTCAGTATCGTGCCTCTGTTGTGCGAGCGGCTTGACCGTTTCCGATAAAAACACGCTTGAAACGAATTAATAATTCGATTATTTACAAACCGATCATGGACAGCCATCGACAATTTACGGTCTATTTGCTTTCCACACGACGAAAAGAAACACGTTTCTTAAATTCTTTTTGAACGACCGCAACCGTCATTCTGTTCGCGACAGATTTGTGACAACAGCTTCGCTTTTTAACGAGAACGTTTAGACGGAGAGAATTCCGTTATTGGCAACAACAGATGCGGCGATATCTTTACGCGATAGTCGATAAGGCAATCTGCAATGCATTAAGGTGATAAGCGAGAGGTTGGTTTGTGTGACGTCCTGTAATGTAATTGTTAGCACTCTGAATACCGTGATTCGAGTTCAAATCTCTGTGGCGCTTTTTTTTTTCTTCTTCGCCTTTGTCATGGTTTATGCAATTGAAGAAGACAGCGACAGTAGAATTCAGAAACTTCTCTTGCTTTGAATTTAGAACAGAAACTCTGCTTCACACACGTGTGGCGAAGCATATTTTCTTCTGTTCGAAACTTTGCAACGTTTCGATATGTTTATTCTACTTTCGCGATGCTTTTAAAACGGAATTCAACATGATGCAAACTTCTGATCCAATTAGCATTACTGTTTCGAATCAAAAGAATTACAAAATGTCTTCCAGGAGCTTACGTCACACTAAAATAGACATTTTTAATCAACCGATCATAAGAATAGATCGCGCCAAAAGTGAGATTCTAACTCACGCCTACTATCGTAATCTAGAATGCACACTCCCGCATTTACAGCAAGAGTCTACCTTGAGGTTGGCGCTTTAGACCGCTCGGCCATCCTGACGTTGTTCTGCGATTACGATTGATGCCTAAACAATGGATAATGTTCATTTCTCGTTATGTTCAAGCAGTTTTATGACAGGTCGACGTTTAACTAACTAAACGACGAATCAATTGCAATTGTTTAGTTTACGGAATTTCGAAAGAAGTTATAACTTGTTTCGTCTCTTACAAGAAATGAAATTTTCTTCGACTGAGTGATGACGTCGACGTTAAATTACGAGTCGTTTATCCATTTTGACACCAGAGTATTGGAATTAGGGCCGGGAGGTTCCAATTAAATATACGTGAACTTCTAATGCAAGACATAAGTCACTTTATTTAAATTAAAAACTCTTTTTCCCGAAAGGAANCGAGTCGTTTATCCATTTTGACACCAGAGTATTGGAATTAGGGCCGGGAGGTTCCAATTAAATATACGTGAACTTCTAATGCAAGACATAAGTCACTTTATTTAAATTAAAAACTCTTTTTCCCGAAAGGAATTAAATAGAGAACAGGCTCGAATCTATTGCTGACAGGAAACGTATAATGTACAGGGGCGAGACAGTACATTACTACTTTGAGAGTGAGAGCGTATATTTTAAATTAAATAAATTTAACATAAGGTGAAAAATTGCTTGGTGTATGTGTAAATTTACATTTTTATTTTCAGTTGTTAAATATTATAAAAATTTGAGAACTTATCAACAATTTTAAAAAGTTGTTAAAAAATTGAATTGTGTTATTTTTTGTGTTNAAATTTACATTTTTATTTTCAGTTGTTAAATATTATAAAAATTTGAGAACTTATCAACAATTTTAAAAAGTTGTTAAAAAATTGAATTGTGTTATTTTTTGTTTTTTCTTTGTTGATTGTTTGTGTTTTATATATGTATTTTTTACACTTGGAAAAGGGAAATAGTACAGTACATCAGAAAAATCTTCAAAAAATTGTCTTTATAATTTCATTTATTGACAACTTTTCTGCTATTACGTTGATAATAAGTTAGAGAATTATTCTTAACAAAGAGACACATTCAGTTTAATAATCTCTGTTTTATAGCATTTTAATTCGTGCTTTTGTATCGATAGAAATTCGCAAGTTTTTAAAATGACTTTTTATATTTTTCTTTCGTTATGAATCGCGTACATTTTCTTCTGCTGTTTAATTGTTAGAAAGATTATTTCAACTTTAATTATAAATTTGTCCAAAAATAAAACGTGTGCAAATAATATTTAAACTGATACACGTAATGAAAGAATATAAATTTAAAACGTATTATTAAGTAAAAGTTTATATACACGTTTAATTGTTCAACATAATTATAATCGTGGCTTAGACATATGCTAACTGCGATATTTCCCTTTTGTTTTTATTCGGATGTCCAGTGTTGACACGCACGTCTGGCGAAAATCCATTATTTTCCGGTCAGAATTTCATCTTCGGTTAAGAGATTTCAAACGACCGAAGACGATGCTAAGTTGTCACCGTCGACTTTAATTAACTGAAGTAAAACAACACGTCCCTCGTAAGCGATAACGAAGGATATGTATCATTCCAAAAATTGCCAGCAGGAAAGGGAAGACGCCAAACCGCCATTAAAAGTCACATCCGGTCATTAGGTCAAAGCCAAGTAAAAGTCCACATCCGGGTAAAAATGTCACAATCGGGAATAAAAGTCACATCCGGGTAGAAATATCACAATCGGTGGAAAAGTCACATTTAATAAGAAGACCTCGGAGATTTATTTCTTCCAGAAGAAGAAGATCTTCTTCCACCAAGGCTTCTTTTTCCTCTTTTTCAGGATCGATTTACACTCCCCTTCGACTCCTTCCTCGCGTGCCTCTCTCTGCACCGACCATTCCGGAACTTCTGGATATCTCTGTTCCAGGTAGTCGATGACAGACGAGGTGCTCTCATCGGGAATGGTGACAATCACCCGTTTCTTGTCGGGTTCCTTCGCACCCTCCAGCACTTCTTTCGGACGCACGCGAATCAGTCGAATCGAAGAGGAAGACAATCCTGATGTCGAGGAGCTTTCCTCCGCACTCTGTCCTCCAGAGTTACTCCAATTCTTTAGCGCTTTAAAATTATCCATCCTGCAAACAATAAAAACCGAGTATTAAATATTGTAGAACGAACGTTAAATTAAGAGAATATTAAAAAATCATAATATAAATACGACAGAAAATTATAGAAAATGATCGTTTTAAGTATAAGAAAAATTCTAAACAAAAATGAATATAAAGTTGTAATGGAATATTCGTTGTGGCAAAATTATCGCTGCTAATTGTGATTTAGTACCTAACAATGTTAAAAATTACCTAAATCTATAAGAATCAGGGACTAAACTTACTCAAAATTATCGCAAAAACTATAGCAAAAGTCTCTGAAAATACTCGAAACAATGGCATTCGAACAAAGCAACAGACAATTGTCGAAATTCTATTGTTGCGTGGCGTCTCAGTTTAATGCTAAAAATATCGATATTTTGACAGAATTTCGATTTCTGGGTGTCTTTCTATAAAAACGGACCATTCTGCTTTTTGTCTGTAGTCTTTCACTCACGCATACAGAGACGAGGTGTAATCCATTTTGTTAGAGTTAGGATGTTCGAAGACGATCATAAACTAAATTGTATTTAATTTAAATTGAGCAATGGTAGAATCTTCTGCAACTGTTATTTCTATATTGTTAAACCTCTTGTAGTTCTATAAATGTTCACTGTCGGCTGCCTGTCAGTTCTTGCTCAAAATGAAAACTTTAATATTTCGGAATTAATATAAAAATTTGTAATTGTCGCTTTTATTTCCCTGTATAGTTAGATTCTATTAGAACATATTGCACTTAGATGGCTCCACTCAAAGAACTGTTTAGGTTGTCTGTAGGAGCCGACATTTCCGGAAGTAGTACTGTTGTATCTCCAGGAAGCGCGAATAAACAGTAAATTGAGGAAGAAAGAGATTCATACGTTCTTAATGACATAGGAGTGTGCAAGACAACCGATGATCGCTTTAATCGTCATGATTAAACAATAAACAACAATTGTTTTTCACTTATAATAGCTTAGAGATTCATTATGTACTTTTTAAAGTATTGCTTTTATCCTAATAACTTATTTTGAAAATTATTGTAAATGTATATTTAAGAAAATACAGCATTTTGTGTTTGTCTAGTTATGTTAGAAAATGACTATTAATCAGTTATAATCATTTGTTATAAATTTAACCGATACTTAAAAGCAAAAATAAGTTATTTGCTGATCTCTTGGTTTATACATAAACTTTTATAGATTTCTTTGCTTTGCATAAATATGTTTGTACTTTACACTATTCGAAATTTATACAAATTACATTTTCATATTATATTTATGAAGCAATCATTGTTAATGTAGACCTATTAATTTTTACTGTCGTTTGTCCATCTGCTGTCTTTACTTAATCGAGAGAACTGAGTTATATAGATGAAATTCGAGAG